GACTTTCCTTAACCTTTGCTGGATAACCATTGTTATATCCTTGGATGCACACTCTTGATGAGTTCTGAATGCTTGATCAGATTAGCTGAACACTACCCGCCCCAAGGTTAAAATGAGGGTTTTTTCTGAACAGAAAGGAAACTCCTACTTCAAAGGCTCAGAGGGGTTGATGAGGGTCTATCTCCCTTATATCTCCGGTGTTTAGGGATTGAAACAAGGCATGTACATCGTCAGCAGGGTCTTACTCAAAAGCGTACCAACCAGAGATTTTGCGTTTTCAAATTGTCGTCATCCTCCTTTGAATCTTTACCTAAGCATAAGACTAGGAAATCTGGCATCAATATGCAAGTAAAACATTTAAAGAGTGATAACGAATGGATGAGTAAAAATGAAAGGAACACTTCAAGACAAGCATACTTATTGCATTAAGATTTTCATTCAAAAATAGACAGGTTTCTATATACAAGCAATGTTTAAACAGACAAGCAAGAATGCAAATGAAAACGCAGTAAAGAAACCAATGATTGCCATTGTTGAGGAGACTTGACTCCGTATGGACTTGCTGATTCTGGCGAATTTCTGAAGTCTTGGAGCTCGAGTGTGCGAGAGAATCCCCTTTCAGATCTGATGTGAGCATGACAGTCTCTGAATTGATCCAGTCTTGGACTTGTCTCTGGATGACATACCATCTTCAATCGGTTGGCCAGGTGCCCCAGTATAATATGTATCACCAAGCACCTCATGTCTTAAAGAAATAATAGACATCATCATCAGAGTTTCCATGACCTGGCTTATCTGACTCTTTAATCCATTATCTTCCTGCCTGAAGAAGTTTCTGATTATGAGCCAAAGCTTACATGTACCACTCAGAGTTATTCCATCACTGATCTCTGAGTATGTGTGGAGAGAAATCAGGTTGAACCTTTGAAGAGAACCCCAGGTCTGAATAAGAATCCCCAATCTTCGAGTACCTGTCATGAATACATGAACATACATGGAGTGTATGAATGAATGCCATGTCATGTTTTGTCATTTCCAAGGAATTTGCGTGCTTTGATTTTGTTCTTGTGCAAGTAAGGGATGGAAGAATTTTGGCACAAGACTTGCAAATATGATTCCTTGAAAATAACAGAACATGTATGTTAAGCATGCAGTTAGCCAAGTTATGTATGCAAAGGCATGAGATCAAAGAGGATCATGGTTCCATCACTCCTGAATAAGGTTGCTGCACTGCTCTGGATCATGTGAGTATCATCAGATCAGAGGTCCGACATAACTTCTGCATATATAAGAACCAAGTACCCTATGGATCTCCCATTGTCCGGGATCAAGGCTTCTGGAACATTGGATATTGTTGAGAATTTTTGAACATGCTGGGAATACCAAGATTGAAGGATTGAATGAACCTCCAGGTAAACAAGTCAGGAACTCAGAAAATAAATCTGAGAACCATACGGTCACCAACAGGATATAGCATCTGCATTAAGTCATAACAGAAATCCAGAATATAGCCATTAGAACCAGTAGTCATTGTCTAAGCATAGTCACCATCTGAATGTGAGTAACCATCTGCACATAGTCACCATCTGTACCTGTGATAGAAATTCCCTCCCCGCTCACAGGTGAAAACTAGGTCAGGGTAAGATAATGGTAACTCGAAAATCATGGGTTCGCCTGAAAGTGCTATGGGCTTGCCCACAGACGTGGGTGCCGATAGTAATTCATTTGAACCTCATCCGAGCGTGGTATATGACATGACTGCACTAATCGGACCACGTCCTATAGCCGTCATGCCCCCACTTTATTCCTAGGTATCCTAGTGCACTCTGGCCTGGGTACTGGGCCTTTTACCTCAAAAGTGACATCCCAACCCAACATAGAGAACAGAGTACAGCATAATAGATAACAAATATGGAAAGCCATAAAATGCAATGCAAACTTATGCTCAGGTATATACAAAATGAATGAATAAACTGAAAGCGTAAAGATAAACACCCAAAGAAAAGAAAAGAAGAGCTAGGAGCGACTCCGGGATGGACCAGCACTTGGTCGACCTATTTTCCCCAGTGAAGTCGCCAGCTGAAACAACCGGCTGAAAATCATCAAAACAATGAAGTCGCCATCGAATGTCTTTTATCCCACGTGTAGGGAAAGGCAAACATCGAGAAAACCTGATGAGGGAGAAGTCACGGTCTTGCGACCGAGAGATCAGGTAAGGGAGTCTGTTACGCGAGGGGAAGGTATTAGCACCCCACGCGCCCATAGTACTCTATGATATCCACTCTTGTTATCTACCTTATGGGTGTGTTTAATCTATGCTTACTGTCTACTATACTACTGGAGGGAAAATGCATGCAAAAGAAAGGAGAAAAGAATGTAGGGAAAATAAAATTGTGCTCGCTTGGGCCCTACCCCAATGCCTACCTATCCTTTTTGAGGAATCAGAGCTACCGTAGTTCGGCTTATATGTTTTTGTCGGTTGGTATTTTTTAATGAACAACATTAATTTCGCCTTCTGCCGCAACTCGACCGTTGGAGACTTACGCGTCAGCACAGAAGTGAATTAACATGCTCTTCTGAAAAGGGTTTGAAAGAAAGGCCCGAGGGCAAAAAAGATTTTTTATATATTTGTTGGTGTTTTTCGCTTGTAGAGAATAACTAGTTAATCTCAAGGGAGAGATTTTAGCCATGTCTCTACTTATTCATGAAATGAGTCTTTGAGACTTGAATCATACCAAAGCTTAGAACAAGAGAATAATAATGTCGAGAAGAAACCCGCTCATCATCTCTCAAACTTAGCCAAGACATGGTTTTTGTCAGTAAATTTTTATGTATTTTTGAAGTTTGTAAAAAAAAAGTTTTTTGTTTTAACTGCATATGCAAAGGAGGAAAGAAAGTCACAGGAAGACAAAAGTCACAGGAAGACGAAAGTCATAGGAAGACGAAAGTCACAGGAAGACGAAAGTCACAGGAAGACGAAAGTCACAGGAAGACGAAAGTCACAGGAAGACGAAAGTCACAGGAAGACGAAAGTCACAGGAAGACGAAAGTCACAGGAAGACTAGCCTATTTCTAAATCTAATGTTATCGTGCATTAGACCTAAAGTTAGAATCGTGAGGGAATTCTACCTAGAAAGTGGTAAAGTGTAGGAGTAAAAATAGAGTTGTGACGATACCGAACGGAGAAGGTCTGTCGCCTCTTCATAACCATGCAAGCCATAAGAGAATTCTATCAAAGTTTCCTTGAGCGAGTGATTGAAAATTATGCTCTTAGCTAGCTTTGAAACTTCATGAAACTCCTCACTCAGGTCTCTTTTATTTCAAAATCTCACACAAAATTGGCATTAAAAATCTACCAAAAACATGGATAAAATAACAAACAAAGCTAATAAAAGAAGTAAAATTCTATTCTAATATTTTTTGAATTTTTATCACGTGAACAATTAAAAAAAACCATGTAGAAATATCACATAAAATTAGTTAAGAAATAATAGAAAGTATGCAGGGGGTGCGTTGCATAAGAAGTAAGTGGTATATAAAAATGATTCTCTAGGCCCATCTTGACTCCAATAATCTTCTTTTGTGATACACAAGGTTATATAAAAAGTGCTAATGGGCCCAAAGGGGAAAGTGTTGTCTGGCCCATACCCAATTCAAACCTTATCACCATATTTTTTATTATTCTTCCAACTATATTCCGCCATTAATAAAATAACAAAAAATGGAACAAAAATTGGCACATAACAAAACGACAACGCATTAGTTTAAAGGACGGGGTTAAAGAAAGTGACGTTTAGACTTCCTTGATAACTTCTTCTCTCTCGCGGAAATCCAACGGATTCATCGCCGCCTCCACCGTCCCAATCCTTCTTCAATCTCTATGAAATGAACACAAACCCTTCGTTATGCTTCCTTTAGATCATGAATCTCGCATCAATTTCTTCCAGAAACTTCTCAAATGGCTGGATCAAAGGAGTAACTTTGAAACCCTAAGACGCAGATTTCGCGAATTCGAGCTAAGTCTCAATGATGTATGGTTTATGAATATACAATCAACTGCGAACAATCAAGAAAATACACGGATATATGGAGTAATCGGGAAAACGAAACCTGTTGAAGCTTTTGATACTCCGGTATGGTGGTTGCGAACTCAGGTGAAGATTTGTGCCTTGTACCTATTCACACGGTTCTTCTTCTTCTCTTTGTTTCATTGATTTTCTGCTCTTCTTCTTCTACCTTTTGTGTTCCTACGTGCGTTTACGTCACTTTTTTGTATCGTAGCAATTGTGATGAGTTCGATGAACGATGCAGCGAAATGGACGATGCATTCCGAGTTGAAGGAAACTGTGATGTTGTTGTTGCTTGAAGATAGTTGAGGCGGTTGAAGGTGTTGATGAGGCAATTACGGAAGGTGATGCGATGGTAACAACAAATTGAAGCGATCCTGAAGCAATCACGAAGTGTAATGAAGATTCTGCAGAGTTGCAAAGAAGATGAAGCAGAGAGAAAGAAGAAAGAGATTTTGGCAGGTGAAATTCTGCAGTTTTCTCGGAGAGAGAGTAGGGAATTTTGGTGGTGACTCTTATGTGAATTAAAGGATGAAGAAGGTTGAAGATGATGATAGTTGAAGAGGAAGATTGAAAGGTGGTTGAAGATTAAGATGGGGGATAGAGAATTTCAGGGTTTGTTGGTGAGTTTTTTTTCTATATCTAATTTTCCTGACTTTTCTCGGTGTTATTAAATAACTGTAATGGTTCTGAATTAAATGATGATATCTCCCCCTCTTCTGCAATCTCTGAATTTCCATTATATAGAGGGCTCAGAGTTGGTCATGGTTTAGGAAGTTAGTAAATCTGTTAGAAAGCAGTTAGAAAAATCTGTTTGGAATTATGGATTTTTGTTTGGCAGTTGTATTGTTTTCAGGTTGTTAGGATCCCTTGGGTGATGTTAATTAGGAAGTTAGGAGTTAGTTAGAGTTTGTTAGGCTACTGTTAAGTTTGTTATGATCTTTTTTTTGAATAGTTAGATTTGGGCGTCTGATTGCTTCTGCAGCTTCTGCCATAGCTATACACATCACTTTTAACAAGCAGGTGTCCGGTCATGGCATACTCGGGAGCTACGTACCCAAATGTGCCCATGACACGGGTAGACAAATAATTAGCTCCGCCTTCAGGTGCCTGTTTAGCAAGACCAAAATCTGCAACCTTAACATGAAAATTATTTTCGAGCAATATGTTGGATGCCTCGAAATCTCTGTGTATTACACATGGTTGTGAGTCTTCATGTAGGTACGAAAGTCCTCTTGCAGCGTCAAGAGCAATCTTCATTCTGGTGTCCCAATCTAAAGGACAGTTTATTCCCATGGGACCATGAAGCCAAGCCTCCAAGCTTCCATTAGGGACAAGCTCATAGCAAAGTAGATTTTGTGATGACTCGCGATTACTATAGTATCCCACTAGTTTTACAAGGTTACGATGATGCAACCGACTAAGCATTTCAACCTCGGCCAAAAAACTCTTTGTCACCCTGTTGTGACTGCATTGTCGGGGTAGGCTGCTGCATACTGCCTGAAAACCCCCTGAATTGTTGTGGTTGGCCAGAATTAACACCTGAATTAGACACTTGACCAGAACTTATTTCAGCAGGAATATTAGGGTTGTTCTGAACAGGCAAGGAACTCCTTTGTTGATACTGTGATGGTGAGAAACCAACTTGACTTCCATTTTTAAACTCAGTTTCCTCCACCTTTGGTATTGCTGGTTTAAAATCTTGTTGGTTTTCAAAAGGCTGGTTATGCATGTTATGTTGGGGTGTTGGCTGCCCAGATGGGGTCATGTTTGGATGAACCTGCTGGGAGTTAGGTTGCCTGGGTGATGGTGTAATCATGTTTTGTTGATACCCCATATAATGCATGTTCTGAGGGGTAAATTGAGGCGCTTGCAGTTGCACAATATGTGTACCATGATCCTGAGGATTACCTTGCCCGAATTGTTGGGGACGAATCCTCTGCGGAGGCACCTGATGATGCATTTGCTGAAATTGCTGTCCTTGATACTGCATCATCTGCTGCCCTTGAGGCTGCATCATCTGTGGTCTAGCTTGATGTAACCCAGGCTGTTGCGTCGGCTGTGCAAGCTGAGAGTTCTGCTGCTGCTGCACTGGTTGAGCAGATTGAGAAGGCTGCTGTTGAGCACCCTGCACCACATGAGGACTCTGTTGCTGTGGCATCTGTTGACCATGCGGTTGGGAAAAATGATTCCCCTGTTTTTGTTGCCATTTCAAACACTTGGTATCTATCTATATATCTTAGGTGAGTGAGAATCTAGAAAAGTGTATTGTATTGTGTTGTTCCAACTGCCATGGAAATGGAATAGAAGTAGAGGCAATTTTTTTGTGATACTGTGTGAAATGAGGGTAGCGGTGGGAATGGGGGTATTTTGGTATGATTGCTTGTATTGACTTGGATTTTTTTTTTGTATGAATGTGCAGATCATGAACTGAAGATGAAGAACTTTGGCATGGCATGGAATTATAATTTTACTCATGGAATTTTAGCACCTTTAGGACTAAAGAATTTTGTTCAAGTGTATTTTGTAACAGTTTTTTTTCTTTGTAGAATATTGGTGTAATGGGATTGTAATGATTTTATAATGAATGTTTGGTTTGGATGAACTTGAAATTTATAGTGTGAATTGTAAATGACCTTTGAGCTTGAAATGTTGGGTGATGAATTTTAAGGACGGAGTTTAAATGACAAAGTCTTGAAAAAATGCTTGAAGACATGAAAGCATCAAATTTTCTTGTAAGGTATTGTTACACTTGAATGAAATTGAATGGAATTGGATAGTATTTTCTTGAATCATGAATGAAAGGGTTAGAATAAACTTTGAACACATGTCAACTTGAATCTGGAATAACGATGAACGTCTTTGTAATGCGTATGAACTCCGACTTGAAACAAGACCTCGCAGTCTGTACTTTACCTTCCAAGAAACTCATATGACCAATACTTAAGGCTCTTTGCCAACTTTAATCCAATCAAACACTTTCGAACATCTTGAACTCAAATCAAACTTCAAATCCAAATCACACTTGCATTCTCAATGAATTCCTAACTTCAATCTTGAACCCAAATCAACTTGAATGACAAACAATTTGAATAGTCAATAAGATCTTGATCCTAAAAGATTCACAACCTTGCCTTTTGTATCATGCCTCATATTCCACGATTCAATCCACAAGTCTCTTATCTTGACAAAGTCCTTCCCTAATTGACGACCTTAAATCATCAAAGATGGATGTAAATGATAATGAAAGAATATGATCAAGATTAATATGAAACCTTATTTCCCCTGATCTTCAATTACTTGAACTTTTATCAATGAATAGAAACCCTGATTTTTAATGAATTTTTTCTTTTCGGAACCAATATTTCTTTTCCTTTACCATACCATTCTTCAAATGCAACTTGAATTCCCAACACATATTAGATGAAAATTCAAGGGAGACCTTGGTCCCAAAGTTAATTTTTCAAAACTTACTTTAACCGAAGTTAACAGATCTTATCCACATATCTTTGAAATTGACCCATGATTATGCATCTCAAGGTCTCATAAGAGCTTGTAAGCCCATCAACCAGGTATGCCATGTTGAACAAACCCTGCCTTGAATGCCTTGAACCTTGCATGAATTCTTTTATGAGAGACCTACTTCAATCAAAACCTACTCGCATCGCAGATAACAAACGACAATGATGAGGACAATGATTGCCTTGGTTAAGGAGAAATCTATGAATTCATATCTTAGGTCATGAACCACGCTTCACAATTCAATCCTCAGCCCTTAGCGATCGGTTATTTCAACTTAAGATTAGTGTCATAAGGAACATCTTACAGATGGATGATAAAGTCTGAATCACAGAAGAATTTCCTTGATGTGAAACCCTCACAATCCTGATTCCTTGTTCAGACGCACAGAGAAATATCCGGATAAAACATCTTTGAACCATGATTCAACAAAACCTAATTTGATTAACTGAGGAGTAGACGATTGTCATGTCACAGTCATTAATCCTAATCAAATGACAAGCATACTTATAGGAAAGGACGTCATGATTCGAAGCCCACATATGCTAGGTCACGTCCTAGAGTTCTTGACCAGAATGACCTACAATCGGTTGTTTATCAGAAGATAATGGCCTTGCTGTTTGAGGGAGAAGAAGTCCTTTATTGGATATGAGCGCCTTAACCACTATGAAACCCTAGTATCGCACAACCACTAAACTTTGAACCTCAGAGCTATATTGAATGAAATGTATGCCATGTTAGTGACCTAATGAAAAAGATGCAGATGAATGCAAAAGTCTAAGCCAAAATAAAGGAAATTAGGAGGGCAAATTTTGGGGTGCAACAGGCGGTCAGTGGAGTATGAGTGCCTTTAGGAGATATGATCACAGCGCCAATACCATTCCCCAAAGCATTTGAGGCTCCGTCAAAGTGCATAGACCATCGGGATCCTTCCCCAGGTCCTTCATCCGGTCCAGGTACTTCACAATCAATCACTACCATGATATTCTCGTCTGGAAATTCAAAGTTCATAGATTGGTAGTCATCCACTGCCTGATGTGCCAAATGGTCTGCCAATACACTTCCCTTGATTGCTTTCTGAGTCGTGTACTGGATGTCATATTCAGTCAAGATCATCTGCCATCTTGCTATTCTTCCAGACAAGGCATGCTTTTCGAAGATGTACTTGATTGGATCCATCTTTGAAATCAATAGAGTAGTGTGAGTCAACATATACTGTCTCAGCCGGCGAGCAGCCCATACCAAAGCGCAACAAGTTTTCTCGAGCAGTGAGTATCGGGTCTCACAGTCGGTAAACTTTTTGCTAAGGTAATAAATAGCGTGCTCTTTTCGGCCAGACTCGTCATGCTGCCCCAGCACACACCCCATTGAGCTGTCCAATACTGTCAAGTATAAGATTAGAGGTCTCCCTTCAACAGGTGGCATAAGAATGGGTGGTTCTTGGAGGTACTCTTTGATTCTTTCGAAAGCAGCCTGACATTCATCGTTCCAACGTACTACTTGATATTTCTTCAGCAGATTGAAGATTGGTTCACAGGTAGCAGTTAGGTGCGAGATGAATCGGGCAATGTAGTTCAGCCGTCCTAGAAAGCCTCTGACTTCTTTTTCAGTCTTGGGAACTGGCATCTCTTGTATGGCTTTCACCTTGGCAGGGTCCACTTGAATACCTTTGTCGCTCACGACGAAAACTAGTAGTTTTCCAGATCTCACCCCGAAGGTGCACTTGTTCGGGTTTAACCTCAGCTTGTACAACTTCAGACGGTCAAACAGCTTCTGTAGATGGTCAAGGTGTTCCTCCTCAGTTTGGGACCTTGCAATCATATCGTCGACATATACTTCGATCTCATGATGGATCATGTCATGAAACAAGGCAACCATGGCACGTTGGTAGGTTGCCCCAGCATTCTTCAACCTAAAAGGCATGACCTTGTAGCAAAAGGTGCCCCACTGAGTAACAAAGGTGGTCTTCTCCATGTCTTTAGGAGCCATCTTGATCTGATTATAACCGGAGAACCCGTCCATGAAGGAGAATACCTTATGATGAGCAGTGTTGTCAACCAGGACATCGATGTGAGGCAGAGGGAAGTCATCCTTAGGGCTCGCCCTGTTCAAATCCCTGTAATCAACACACATTCGGACCTTGCCATCTTTCTTCGGTACTGGAACCACATTGGCAACCCACTGAGGGTAAGAAGTCACTGCTAGAAACCCGGCATCAAATTGTTTCATAACCTCAGCTTTGATTTTCTCGGACATCTCTGGACGCATATGGCGGACCTTCTGTTTTACCGGAGGGCATTCTTCCTTGGTAGGCAGGTGATGAACCACAATGTCGGTATCTAACCCAGGCATGTCCTCGTAGGACCAGGCAAAGATTTCCACATAGTTATGCAGCATCTGAATCAACCGTTATTTCACACTAGACTCCAGATTGGCACCAATCTTGACTTCCTTTTTGTCTGTCTCAGTACCCAGATTTACCGTTTCCACTGGCTCTTCATGTGGCTGAATGGCCCTCTCTTCCTGGAGTAGTAGTCTTGCAAGCTCACCAGGCACCTCACAATCATATTCACCTTCGTCTTCGGCTAAGTTGATCGGATTTTTGAAGTCATAACTGGCAGTAGCAGAGTCGTTACCAGTGAGATCCAGAGTGGATTGGAACCTGTATAGGTGAGTGTGTGTAAATATAGCTATTTTGCAATATATAATAAAGAAAGACAAGGAGCGCAAGATTTGAAATGCAAAAAACGTCCAATGCTTTTATTAATGATATATGAAAATGACACACAAAAGCCCTCACAAATGAAGCCACGGTGCCCCGGGTAAGACACCGGGCCATAAAGTTTCAGATTATTGTTTGTTACAAATTCAAAACAAAGGAGTTCATTACTGAGTGACAAAAGTAATAGGTATGAAGTCTTTCGCAGTCCAGTTGCTTGGTCCACCGTTGGTCGTTGGGTAGATCCAGCTGTCGAATTCAGATTCCTTTGTGTCGTCTTCAATAGCATTTACTCCCGGGTTGCTGATGAACACATGAGGTCTTCCAATCCTTGCTTTACGAACAACCCTCTGAGCCTCTACGGTGAAACCCAAACCAAATTTTTCAGTCTTCGGAGTGAAATCAGGAAGTCGGACCCAGTTTGCACACTCACCCTTCTCAATCACAGCCCGAGCATCCTTTAAGGAAGCCATCTTCAAAGGAGAATCTTCAGTCACAGTTTCAGCTGATGCCAATGTCTGAGGGACCTCTTCAAAGTGCTGGAATGGAGTCTCAATGAATTCCCCATCCATTTCTATGTACCGGAAGGAGTTAAGGTGGCTGACCATGTATTCTTCTTCCCCCTGCACTGTCACAATCTTCCCCCTGACCGGGTATTTCAGCTTCTGATGTAGTGTGGAGGTCACAGCTCCAGCTTTGTGGATCCATGGACGACCCAGCAAACAAGAGTAGGATGGTCGAATGTCTATCACATAGAATGTTGAATCAAAGACCTGCGAACCAACCCTGATTGGAATATCAACTTCACCATGCACCATCCTTTTGGACCCGTCAAAGGCCCGGACAACAATGTTACTTGGCTTCAACTCCAAACCCTTGCAATCCAACCTGTCTAGAGCCTTCTTGGGTAATACGTTCAACGA